CCAGAGACCAAACCTGAATCTGGTTCTTAACTGCCACCCAGTTCTGCCGTCTCACACCTGTGCCCACACCGGCACTGCCAGCTGTTACTAATGCATCCGTATAATCAAATTTACATTGATCTACAGATATAACCAAATTGAATCCTCATAACGACCCACCTTTCAGCTGAGAAAACCGATGCGTAAAGAGCTTCTAAGGAGTGCACTCGAGGGTTTCACTGTTTCATAACTTCAGAATCACGGTTGGATGGTCAGCTCACTGAGCTGTCCAGCATTAGGGTTCTCAGGGGTCCCAGGTCTACCCTGCCGTCTGGGGTTTCGAACCTCAAAGAGAGTTTCAGCCTCAACAGAGCTTGAGCTGAGACCTTGCCGCACGGGGCCGGGTGGGGATGCCTGTTACACAGCCTCTGTAACCGTTAGGGAGACCTCCACGCCGTCAGGGTGTCCTCATGGGAAAAGCGTCCAGCCCCTCTTCATGGGGACCGACTCTCCACGTCAAATGTTGGACGGTAGCCGTTGTGCACCCTGAGTCTTCTCACGGAGGAGCCCGGTGCTGGAGACCAGGCTGTATCTCACACACGCCTGATCTGCCGAAAGACAGAGTGGGTAGGAGCCGGGAACCAGCCTCTCCGCCGGGTGCGGGGTGGCGTGAAGCGGGGCCACTGCCCCGCAGATCCCCCTGACAGGGTCTTGAAGACGTTTCAGAGGGTCACAGCCTTTGGCCAATAATTCCACTTTGCGAATTTACCCACCGACATCAGCAGAGACACACATGAAGACAGTCACTGCTGTGTTACTTGTAACAGGGGACAGTACGGCAAACGCCCAACAACCAGGCGCTGCCAGAATGAATCACAGGACACCAGTGTGATGGGGCGTGAGATCATTTACAGTCATGTTTTCAAAGAACATTTAATGATATGGGACTTGCTCAAGTGCTAACGGTAAGTGAAACAGAATCAAGTTCTACACATAAAATGATTCCTAGCTGTTAAAAAAGCACACGATCTGTAAGGAAGTACATCAGAAGGTGAATAGCGGCCGTACCTGCCTGGCTGGGCACTAGTGGTTTCTATTCTCCCACGATGGACATTCACAGTTTCTATTAAAACTACGGATGCTATTTAAAACACACAACACGTGCACACACATGCACACACGCCATAGTTTTGATTGGAAACTATTCTCTGGCTTTGGTCAAACAGGGCTTCAAGAAATGAGGTGCAGACTGGCGGCCACCAGGTCCACGTGTTTCGGAAGCTTCGTGGAACGAGTGTGTTTGCTTGCCCGGGTTTCTTCACTCCGTTGTTACCACACACGTTGTTTAGGGCAAAGTAGGATCTTTGAAACTGAATAAACTTATATAACTAACTGAAAACAGGTTTCAGAGCGTGTGTGCGCGGGGAGGCCAGCCCCCGCCCCGGAGGGCCGTGCGTGTGGCCCAGCCAGCAGGCTGCCAGGGGAGTGGCCGGCACCCTGGGCCTCAGTCCAGGCTCTGTCTGAACCCAGTGAACGGACTGAGGACGAGGTATTTTCAAAACACCCTGCGTGGC